TAGTAAAAGCCTAATTAAACATGTAAAGTTAGCCATTCATTTTTGAAATTAGATCTATATTAAAAAATTAATATATCTGATACAGTGCCAATGTGCAGGGGTGGGAGGGGAGAGGAAGCACAGCATCAAAGAATTCAGCTAAAACTTAATCATAAAATTAGCAGATTAGAAACATGACCCTTCGCAAATATAGCACAACTGTGTCTTATAAAATTATTATAATACTCTTTATAGTTGATAAGATTATATCAATAATATAATTCACTTGTTATTAAGGTTTATTATAAACATGCAAATCCATTGCATGATGCATTTGCAAAACATACTAAAAACCTTCTAGCAAGAAAACATCTTTGAGCTGATAAGCATCCAGGCATCCTGATTCTATAGCTCCAGGTGTGTCGTTCAATAGGAAATGGGAACCCAAACCATATTGGTTTTCATCTCTAAGTGAATGTCTAGGGCTAGAGAAGGCAGGAAAACCAACAAGTAGGGATTGATTCTAGAATCAAGACTTGATTAAGTTACTATACATCGTACTTTCTTAAATGACACAGCAGCCTATTAAATAAATAAGTACAAAAGGGCATATACTTCAGCTTCTTAGGAAGGGTGACAACATAGGTAGCAAAATATTGGTGGAGGGGGTTGGCTAACAACACTCATGAGTAGTGGCATGGTTATTGATGGCACCCTGGATTGAAGAACAATCTCCCAGAGATTAAAATGAGCATACATACACACTGGTTTATCCTTGATCTGACATGATTTCACATGCTTGTTTAGCAAAGTCCTTAGATGATTTGGCCTCTTAAGAAGAATGCAAGTATCAAGACAGTTATCAACCAACTGGGTAATGGATGATAGATTCACCCAACACTCATCTGAAGTTGTCTTTCTTTTTTAAACAGCTGGACCATAATTGGGTCATGACGTTTGGGAACAATGATAAGGTTCATCCTGGCCTCTCAGATTCTAGGGACTGTTTCCATCAAGGCAGAGAACAAAAGTGGTGGGTATCTTGAAGCTTCTACCACCCCCAATCCCTCTTTGTTCACTCTCTGGGCTCCCTATCCTTTCATTCCAAAGACATCGTAGGAAAAGATGCTTTCAACACATTGGGCTGGGTAGTTCACTTGAATATCTCTGGTTGAGGGATCCTGATGGTGAAAATCCACAGATGGAGGGTATGGAGAACATATCAAGTCGTACCAAAAAAAAAGGGGCAAGAGTCTGTTTGCTTTCTAGGAAGGGTTAACCTACACCCTGATGTGACATCTACGTAATTAAACTGGATACTGTACATTATGTCATCTTTTACTAAGATAATGTTCTTGGTTGTAAGAGAGACCCTGAAAAGTTGACCCCATGTGGACTAATGACCCTACAATTTTCAGGCCTCTGTGTGGAATAAGACACAAGGCCATGGCCTTAAAATTTTAGGGTTGAGAATTGTTCCCCATTGCTGGGAGGGCTGAGGGCTGGGGAGGCATTTGCTGTCATTGGTGAGTTTCATACCGCACTTTGCAAGATTGGGTGCACAAACTGGGGATTGATGTATGAGAACCCTTCAAAATCAGACTGGTCTATGTTCGCGATGACCAGCTGATCTGGCGGTGTTAAGACGGGTTGCCCTCGTGTGAAGAACTTGTCAAAGTTTTCTGCTCCTTTGCCACACTGTGGAGAAAATAAAGAAAAATAAAAGATTAGGGAAAAAAAAAACACAGGGGGCAGTTCTCTGAAAGCACTCTGTAGAGAGGAGCGTGGCCCAGGGAAATTGGGACTGTTAGGTAGGAAGAATCTCAGAGAACCTGCAGGCCTACTGTAATAGAAGCCAGGCACAGCAAACAACTTACTCAACTGTAAATCCCTGCATATCCCAAGGATGAATAACCTAGGTAGAAATGCACTTTTGGCAAAAGTAGCAATATGGGTATAGCATCTCTTTTTTCATTTCCACCCCTCTGAGCAAGCAGAGCTATGAGCATGAACCTTGTGCACACAGGGCCCCAGTTATGGCTCCATGTTAAAAAGCCAGGATATTGGCTGGGACTGCAGACAGTTACTCCTGAACTGAGAGGGTTAGCTCCCTGTACCACATCTGGTTTTTTGTAATAATATTTGTAATAAAACAAAAGTTTTATATCTTTGCTTTCTAACCGGGATGTTATAGAAACTCTAGTCCCTAATCTTCAAATAGGATGGAGTAGGTGTGGAAGCAATGGTGGGAGATGGACTTCTGAGCCTGGCTGTAATTCTATGCATCTGGATAGAGCTGGTCAATTGACAGGCAGGTCTATGCAGAACTCTTTGTAGGTTGTCTTGGGCTAGGGGATTTGCACTGGTGCCCAGGGGGATGTTGGGGAGGCTATCTGAATACTGTTCTCCTCCAGGGTCCACCAGGGTACTCTGCAAATGGAGGCTATAGGCAGAGGAGCTCCATGATGATCTCTGGGAAATACAGTGCATAGCTGTGTCTAAAGGCTTTGCTTGGGGGTCTGACCCAAGTTTGGAGGAAGGGGTGTCCCCTCACTTTTCCAGCCATGAAGAAGGGTTGTGTCAAAGTCTTTGGGACCCCATAAAAACTCTGAAACAAGTCTGGGAGTTCCACTGGTCTTACTCACAATGATTTTTAACATGTTGCTAATTATTGCCTTCAACCTGTTGGTTGTACCACAGGGGCAACATGATTTGATTCTGAGTTAACATGAATTTTAATCTCATCAGAAACTTTTGGATCTTTTGACAGAAGATGGCCTATGTAAACTGTCAATTGGGATCCACCCAATTTCCTCATTTGTAAAGTGGGGAGAATAATTGCACCTCTCTCCCCAGGCTGCTCTGAGGCTCAATGTGGAGTTTCAAAAAGAATTGAGCATGTAGTCAGAGTTCAATACATATTGCTATTTTTTTATTTAAAAAAATAAGACCAGATTAGTTTCATGGCTGTAATTTCCCACCTCTTCTTTTCCCTTTCTTCTCTATCTTCTAGAAGTTTTTCTTGAGAATCAAGTTATTATACCTTTCCCACCCTCTTTTCTCAAATAAAACTTGCTCCTAAGTACCTGTTGAGGTAGAAAGCATGGCCTAAATTTAAAGTAAATCCTAAATAACTGCATTCCTTTTTGGGATTATTCATCTCAAGAGGCTACCCAAGAAGACTTCACACCTAGTGACAGGGCGTGGTGGCAGAGTTGTGTGTGGCAAGATTGTTTGGGGGTCTTTGAGTGATCCTGTGGAGGCCACACAGACTGTGAGGCTCACTCTTCATATACTCCTGCCTCCCACAGATGGGTGACAAAGCCTCCACTTTCATACTCCATGTTTCCATGATGCTTTACCCTGGAAGAACACAAAACGCTTCAAAGCCAAGGTCAGCAGAGACAGAATATGAGGTTCATATCACCCAACATGCACAGGCCATTCTGAACTATTGAGAAAGGCTCTTCAAGAAGTTAGCAGGGCACACTGTGTCTTCCCAAGACTTAATCAGGAATCTGCACTTGATTCAACAATGAGGTAAACACACAGAAACTAGCTTACACTGGGGTGTTACTTTCAGACACTGCTCTGATGATAGAAATAGGTCGAGGAAGAACCTTTCTTTCAGTAAAGAAAGTGTTCTCAATTAAGGAAGATTTTGCTCCACAGGGAAGCCATTTTTGATCATCATGACTTAGACAAGGGGCACTACTGGCATCTGGTGGGTACCATCCAGGGAGGCTGCTAAAAATTCTCAAATGCACAGGACATTTTAGGCTAAAAAATGTCAACTATGCTGCTGTTGAGAAACTCTGGGATCCATCCAGGCTGTAATGTGAGGCTGAGTAAGTCCTAGGTTCAGTGTGAAGGCGAATGTAGGGGCCAAAGGAGGCAATTCGGCAGGAACAGTCATGTGTGAGAACAGAAGATGGAGAAGCTGCAGGAGCCCCAGGCAGGAGCAGTGTAGGAGGGTCAGGATCCAGGGAGAGTAGGCTTTGAAGAACAAGTCCTCTTGGAGTCCAGTGAGTTAATACCCATTTTCCAGAAGAACTCAAGTAAACCTACTGCTGGTGCTCCCAGAAACTGGGATGTGCTCTTCCTCAAAAGAATCATTTGTACTTCTCTACTACTCACTAACCGTGCAAAGATGAGCAAGAATGAATTTCTGGGAAAAAAAATCAATAAAGAATGTGAGTCCCTAACAGGCAAAGCAAGGCTGGCCAGGGTGATGTGTTCCCTTGGCCTGACTGGACAGATCTCTGTCTAGCTTTAGATTTATTGATTTGTTCTGTGAAAAGATTGTTCAAGTCTGACCCTTTCCTCTGAGTACTCTTTATGGTATTCACCAACAGGACATTTCCAAAAGCCAGGGTTTTACTGCCAAAGAAAAATAAAATAAAGGAAAAGAGAGCTCTCACCATCTAAAGAGGTGACCATACCAACATCAACTTTGAGAAGGATGGGGGATGGATGCCTGAGGATGTCAAATTCTATCTTGGGGCTCTCAGGAAGGACTCTTTCTAAGGGCTTCCACTGCTTGTAATAAATGATGAAGATGTCCTCCCCCACCCCAGCCTCCATGACCCTGCTGATAACTGTAGAGCTGAGGGGAAATCATGATCACAGATCGGTCTAACTCCTGCTCTGCAATCACACGGAATGGCAGTGAGACTATTGGCCTCAACACTGCGTACCTGCAGAAATACCTTCCTCTCCTTTCTCACTCTGAATTTCTTTGGAATTCCCCCCCACCCCAGACTCAAGAGAGAGAAATCCTATTTTAGCAAACGAAAGCTTTTCTTAAGCTGGTTCACTTAGGTGAAGAGACCAGGGGGCAAGGACAGGCCAAGGGCAAAGAGGAAGAAATAAACCACTGATGTTTCACACATGTCACCACAGGACACACGGGAACAGGACAGCATCTTAAAAGGTCATGGGGGAAGCAAGCCCTGGAAAAGCTGGAGGTTGAGTCTGAGGATCAGGTGAGGTCCGAGAATCAGAAGGATGCAGAAGGATGCTTATCCTGAGGAAGATCATACCAGAAATCTCCTTCCCCCACTGAAGGGCCAGCAGGAAGTACAACTATTTTTTACCACAAGCTCAGTACTGTGAAAAATATTACTTATTCTTCTACTGTGGAGGGTCTCTCAGTACTTTATAAATAAGCCCTCCACATCTCTTAGCAAAACGAGGCCCAGAAATAGACCATCTCCTTTAGGAGGTGTTTTTCAAGATGTTCTGTAGGTAACTGCCACTGTCTTCATATCACCTCCAGACCCTACTGAAAAGGATCATGGGAATCAGGGCTGTTCAGATCCTTTGGAAAAATAAGCAATCAACTCAACAAGCTGTTGCGTTCTCAAGGCAGAAGAGACTCTGCCTATGACCTATGATCCAATCTGACTCCACTGCCAGCTTGATGGGCCATGGGCGCCATCTTGGAGCTGAGCAGGGAGGAAGAAGAGGCAGAGAGGTGAAAAGGTTAAGGGGGAACCCTGTGGGACGTGTGGATGAAGAAGTGAAGGAGTGACAAATAAAGCTGGGCTGATAACAGACAGCCTCCAAGCATTCCTCAGGATGAAGCAGGAAGGTGGTGACCACAGTCATGTGAAGGGCAGCTTCCACGGCAGTGTGTGACAACACTCAGTTTTGGTTTGTCTGGGACCTCAGGGCTCAGACCACCTGACGCAAACAGTAGCTAAAGTGACGTGTGAGCAGAACTCCTGGGCTCGTTGTGCCTGATTCACCTCCGGTGCCGCTCCCTGTGACCCCCACCTTTCACCAACTGAGGTTTTATGCTGGTTGAGATGTATGTAGGACCCAACTGGCTTGGGACAAAGATGTGTGGCGGGCGGGGGGGGCCTGAGTGGGCCACGAGAGAAGCAAGCTCCTCAGCATTCCCTGGGATGGGGGTGTCTGTGTTCGCTGGGGGTGCTAGCACCTGAGGGGAAAACGGGGGCAAGGTGGAGTGGTCACAAGCCCCAGGGTACAGCTTTGGGGAACTCCTAAAGGTAACACGGGGATGCGACCCTCACCTTCTTGGCTGTCGTGAGGATGGAGGGAGCTGGCGTGTATGGGATTTCCTTAATAAGCAATGTGTCGTGACCCGGACACAGGGTACAACACAGGAAGCCAGTGCCCAGCAGGGAAAGGGCGTCTGACCGACTTTAGAGAGGAGGAGAAACACTATTAATAATGTGCCTTCCCCTTCCTTAGTTCTGGATTAAGGAATCAACTCCTTCATCACTCTGACCTTCCTGCCCATTTGGTAAGTTCTCTAATTAATAAAAGGAGCCCAGGAGAAGTCAGACATGCTGAAGAACTTCCAAGCACAGACCCCTCCTAGAAGCCGGGGCTGCAGAGCTTCCCCCACCCACGCCCGCTGCCAAGCCCTGGAGTCCTGTGGAGGGGTGGCGGGGAGAGCGGAGGCTGGCTTCTCAGCTGTAAGCCTTACCTGAGAGGTCACCAGGAATGAGCAAGTAACCCACGGGCTGGGCTCAATCCTGCCCTGGACCTCAGTGTCTCAGTCATGTGGAACATGACCCCACGGAGGCGGCATGGGAACACGAGTAGCTCAAAAACACAGCTGTTAAATAGCAAAACCAACAGGACCCAGAAGAGGGGGCAGAGCGCAGAACAAAGAAAGCGTAGAGGCCTGTTGCAGCACCAGAGAAAAAGGAAACATGGAAAGGAGG